CCTCCACACATTTATGTCTTTCTGTACACACACACATAGATACAATCCAACTAGTCACACTCATTAATTTATATCTGTCTACACACTCATCTTCACATACACCCATCCCCATCTTCTCATTTGGATGAATCTCCAGAGAATTATGCTAAGAAAAAAAAACTAATCCAAATATGTACTATATAATTTCCCTTTATGCAACATTTTGAAATGATGAAATTTTAGAAATGGACAACAGATTAGTGGAGTTCAGGAGTGAGAGAAAGTGACTCAAGAGAGGTAGAGGAAGGAAGATAGGTATGGTTATAAAAAGGTAACATAAGGGATCCTTATGGTGTTGGAACTGTTCAGTACTTTGACTAAGGTGGTGGTTAATATGCAAATAGTAAAATTCGATAGACCATAATACACACACACACACACACACACGTAAAACTTGGTATTCTGACTTCGATCTGTGGATTATACAAATGTCAATATCCTGGTTGAGATATTACACTAGAGTTTTGCAGAATGTTACCACTGGGGGGAACTAGGCAAGTTTACAAAATATCTTTATATCATTTATTTCAACTTTGTTTGAATCTACAGTTATCTCAAAAATTGCAATGAAATGCATTTATGTCACAAACAGACTTTAAAAATTAACAATAATCATCTCTGGGTGCAAGATACATTTTAAAGTTGTAATAGAATGAATCATGATAAAGTGCCCCTAGGAAAGTGTAAACTTCTGCAAATAGATCTAGTCAATTCCATCAGTGCATAGAGAGAGAGAGACTTGGCTCAGCATCAAACCACAGCAGCACAACTGAGATCTGGGGACATGATGACAAACACAGACCAGGCATCCACCAAAGATTTAAGCAACAAACTCTGAGGCTGAATTACTTTATGTCTCTCTTCATGCAGAAGCACACACATAGGAAAACACATTTAGGGCAGCTACATCATGTTAATGACGATGATTTACCCTCAAAAGACTCCATTTCACTTGTGGAGAAATTCTAAATCAGATTCATTGATAAACAAAATAATCTCTTCCTTGTGTTAAAATAAAATGTACTTCTTTATGAGCATCACAGGCAACACCTCAATGTTCTTATCTTCTTTGTACAATATATTCCATATTTCATCTTTGACATGTTCATATTTGGATATATATACTGGATATGTAAATGCCTGTGAATTTTTGGGACAATACTTAATGGGATTATAAATGGCACAGCAAGTTGGAAGATAGTCTTATGTCAAAATTCCTTATAGTTAAATGACTCTACAAAGTGGACATGTGTTTTCAGCTTAGATCAAAACCAAAAGTGAGTGACTCTTTCCACTTAAAAGGTTTAAGCATCCACCTCCAATTGTTGGAGAAGGCTGGTTGTTATCCTGAGAACACAGTTGAAAAATATATGCAGTCAGTTGGTCAGAGACAAGGGTTAAGTCAGTCAAATTTCAGAAGAAAACTGTCAAGATTCTCTTTGACATATATATGCAGATACAAAACAAACAGTCAAAGAGGAAAGAGAAGAACAGGCTTCAAATGTCATCCAGGAAGGACATACTGGCCACACTGCAGAGAATGCACAATCTGAAAGGATTATTTTCTCAGCCACACTGGTAGAGGGTTCTGCAATAACTAGAGAGTGACATGGGAACCTACTGTATAATGCTGTGTACTTGTGCTTTTGTTACAATAAGTGAATTGTGTTGTAATTTATTCAAGAGGACCAACTAGTACATCTCAGCAAGGGCCAAGAGACGGAGACCCCCATGGTGATGTTTTCTATTGGCATTTGGGCTGGGGTTATTGTCTCCTGGCTATTATTCTGGGCACAGTATAGATAAACTTGGCTGAACAACCTTTTTGCAGAAGGCTGCATTCACACAACTGATTTTTTTTCTCTTGAGATAATTCAGTTTTCTATTACTAGTTTAGCAAGTCACTATAAAATTATTGGCTTGAAACAGCGTAAATTCATTATCTAACAATTCCATGAATCAACATGGCTGTCACTGGGCAAGAATTGAGGCGTCAGCAAGGCGGAGCTCCTTTCAAAAGCCCTCAGGGAGAATCTATTTTCTGGCTTTGTTAGATTCTAGAGAAAACCACATTACTTGGATGGTAGCCCCCTTCCTATATCTTTAAAGTCAGCACCAGCTAGTTGGGTCCTCTTCATGCTTCATATTTCTTCTGCTGTTGCTTCTTTTTTTCAGGAACTTGGGGAAAGGCTCTTCACATTTGAGGTCTCTTGTGATCAGAGTAGGCTAATTGCCTCAAATATATAATATTCTGCTTTCTCCAGCATATAGCAGAGTGAATATACAAACCACATACTTAAAACAGTAAATTGGTTAGCCTTGCCTTTATCCCTCCAGCCAAATGGAAAATCCAGAGCAAATCAGCAGTAGGGTCAACCATGGGAGGCATTAATCTTTATTCTTTTCTTGATGGCATCGGTTCTTATTATGTTGGGTTGTTCTAGTCATACAAATAGACAAGTGGAAACATTAAAAATGTGACATAGAACACAGAAGGTAGAAAAAGGTCCTGTTGAAAACACAAGAAAGATGGGAGACATCAGCATCCAAAGTTGATCTGTAATTGACTTTGACCAATTGAATATGCTAATCTTTCTAATTTTATGTATGACTTAAACTATGCATGCAGATCTTTTTGTTTTAACTATAGAAAAACAGAACAAGTCAATTGATACTCTCACTGACTTCCTTGTTATTTGATAGTAATTGGACATGCAGTGAAGGGAGGCTTTCAGTAAAATTTAAACCACATAATATTGAAGCCATAAACTATGGAAGTTTTCAAATAAAGAGTTGTCACCACATTTCATATTTTGCCTGGGCTCCTAGGATACTGAGAATGAACAACTTCCCCATAGATACTAGAAGATTCATTCTAGTGGTTTTCTTCATCAGGGGATATCTTGTGTAAGCCTTCCTGAGACAGGAAAGATGTAGTGGATTCTGAGTCAGCAATGAGCTCTAACCATATGGCCTGTGAAGGAGTGCCTTGTTTACAAGATTCAGTGATGTCAAATGGAATGACAATAGTTTTTTTGATGACTTATTTACACAGGAAGATAGGAGATGTCGGGAGAATAGCCACAAAAGGCCCATGTTGAGAGACAGCATTCAGTTTGTGGGCGTATATCAACAGCAGAAGAAACATGAGTCACAAAGTGGACCCAACTACCAGGTCCCAGGAGTCACCATCAGGGGAATCACGATGAGCATATGAACACAGAGGTGCTTTCACTCACACACACAGCAGAAGTCCAGCCTGCCTTCTGGGCCCTGCTCTGTGACTTCCTGTCCAGGCTTTCCTCAGATTAGCTTTGGGTGAAGAGATCATTATTAACAGAGAGTGTTGATGTCTATAATTAATGATAATAATGATCGATTTAAGACTCAGCCAGGCTCCAGGAGGTACTGACCTCCTAGAGGTGGATGGAGCTAAGGTACAACCTTGAGACTGTTGCAGGGTAAAGTGGGGATGTAGTTAAAAAGGTTTCTTCAGGATACAGTCAGGTCCATCTCTCCCATGTCAATCTATCCTGGCCAAGCAGCCTCCAAGGGCTGCTCTATTCTTCATTGTGTTTGTTTCCACCTGGGTACACTAGTCCAGTGACTGCACTTCAGATGCTAGTTCCCTGTGGCTTGGAAGTCAGTGCCAAAAGTGTTGCTCTGAATGACAGTAAATCAAGAGAGTAGAAACACTGTGCACGCATATCACATAATGGGGCTAGTAAACACATCCATCTATTTTAAATTCTTTTTTATTTTGAATTCTAAAACATGAGTACCTAATTTTCAATTTTTTTTTAAAAAATCAAAATACATTATCTTACACTCTGGATAGATTTAGGAGATCTCATTCTATGTTGAGAAGAAATCGCTGTGCTGTTCTTACACATATTTGGTTCAAACTAATTTTTAAGTATTTCTTGAATGCTAACTTGGCAGAAAGAAAAGTGCACCCAATTTTGTAATCCCCACAAGGAAGCATAATTCCAGACCAAATTTTGAAAATCCAACTATACTTTATATTAATAGCTTGTTTATGATTATTTTAATTGACTGGTTCTTTCTTTAAGCCAATAAGAGAAAACATCTAACATTTCTCATCTGGAGCATCATTGAATGGTAACTCAAGGCCTATTGGCTTAAATAGAAGAGTAGCTCTTATTATATCATATGAGAATTGAATAATTACAGGAGTGCCTTCAGAACATGCAGATGATCCATGAAATACATTTTTTGTCTGCTATTGTTTTACTTTTGTCTTTATTTCCCTATTGTCTTGCTTATGGATGTTCCAAACGCTGGCTCTTTGATATATAAATGTGTGTTGTCTCATAACTCCCCATAACTTAGGAACAGTCCTTCTTTAGGGCACTGATGCTTTATTTTCTTTTGGACTTTTTTCTCCCTTTTTGAACCATGCATTTCAGCCTTAACCTACTTTCATTGGGAAGATTCCCTTCTAAATTTTTACTAATAAATATATTGTGGCTTTAGTAATAACATCTTCCAGAAAAGATAGGATATCTTCAAGTGGATTCCCAATTTCTGAAGGGCTCAGATTTTCAGTTCCTTGAAGTGATTCTCAAATATTTAATTAAGAAGAAAAATGTGGGAAAGAGGCAGTTTCAAGCAAGGGTCAAAATCTCAAATGCCTCAGAGAATGAAGCATGGACTATAAATTAAAGAATCAGGCTAGTGGGAAATATTGGACATAAAATATAAACTAACTCAGCTGGCTGGTGAGAAACTTTGGAAAAGTGAAGACTGGCTGGATGAATTATAGGCACAACTTTTACTCAGCTTTGGCTTAAGTTGGATGTGATCACATGGGATGTAGTTTCTGTATAGCTAGATCTTCTGCTTTTTCAAGAGAAACAAACAAAAATCTGTATTTTATGTGAACATCTCTCAATTTTAAAATAATAGCAACTAATTCAAACATTTTTAACTCTTTCCAGACTAAAAAGAATATATTTATAGGCCATATTTGGCCTATGATCCAACACCTGGGATAGAATTACCCTAAATGTGAGAAAATTATGGTATGTGAAATTACTCATTTGTTACTTTACTCATTGTTAGTCAATAATCTGATTTCCTTCACCCCACCTTTTTCTATTTTCCTACCTTTTTAAATATACATATGTATTGGTTGTGTATGGACACAATTCCTTTATTTTATTTATTTTTTTTTTTTATGGGATGCTGAGGATAGAACCCAGTGCCCCACACGTGCTAGGCAGGCACTTGACCACTGAGCCATAGCCGCAGCCCTGGCTGCCTTTTGAATGCATTATAGGCCTCTAATGTGATTATACTGTTGGTTTCCATAACCAATTCTCCACCACTCCAGATGTCAGTATTGCAATTACAAGGTCATACCTGTGTGGCATTTGTGAGTTTTGGGTAATCTGTGATTTGGATACTCAATATAGAGTGAAAAGTATAGACTTGATCTAACAATACCTTTCATAGGGTGATATTATGAGCCTTAACAACATAAGATGACCTTGCAGAAGGCTCTAGTTAGAAGTATAAAGAGGGCCTGTCTCCCACATTTTTACTTGTATAGATTTTATAACACCATAGACTATTATGTCCATACCTAACAATTAGGTTGAATGAAAGTGAAAGAACTTTTCTTGGTTTAACAGTGAAGGGGAGACCAAGAGAAAGAAAATTTTACTAGCTATTCAAAATCAATCCGGAAATGCCAATATTCCTTTATGCCATGACTTAGGCTAAATGACTTTTTTGAAAGTTTTTCTAGTTTTTAGCCTTAAACATATTGTTCCTTGTTGTTCCTTGTTCCCATACGGCCTTTGATCTACTCATATATCATATTTACTGAGGACTTCAGGGGCCAGTGGCCCCTGGTACTGCCCAGAAAGAAGTGTGGAGAACCAGCCAGAAAACTGGGCCAGTTCCCTTCACCTCTGGTTATCTTTGGTCTGAGTAGGATCACTTTACTTTGACTCCCCCTGTGGCAGCAATGGCCTGTGGTTGGGTAATCAGCAGAATGTCATTTAAAATTGAGGAAAATATAACTCTACTTAAATGGCAAAATTTCCCCTTATAATTTAGGTCAGTTACTGGCAAGTGGAAGAGCATCATTTTCTGGCTCTTAAACCATGGTGATGGTATAAAAATTACAAAGATATATTTCTGTGAACTGAAATGAGTTTCAAACATTAAAGCAAGCATCTTATTTTCTAAAATGCTGACATGGTTTAGATATGTGGTATCCCCCAAAAGCTCCTGTGTTAACAAAGGAGGTAAAATAATTAGTTTATGAGAGCCATGATCTAATCTGTCCATCTTAGTTTGAATGGACTAACTGGGTGGCAACTAGAATCAGATGGGGTATGGCTAGAGGAGGTGGGTCACTGGGAAACCTGTCCCAGAGGGTTCATCTTCCAGCAGCCCCTTTCTCTCTCTCTGCTCCCCAGATGCTTTGGGCAGGGTGGAGCAGAGCAGGCCACAATCTTTAGCCATAATGTTCTGCTTCACCTCAGGCCCAGAGTGATGGAACTGGCCAGCCATGAACTGAACCTCTGAAACTGTGAGCCAAAATAAAATTTTCCTCCTCTAAGTTGTTCTTGTCAGGTATTTTGGTCACAGTGACAAAAAGCCAACTAACTCCAATGTTGTGAAAGAATTGTTGTGTGTGTGTGTGTGCACGTTATTGCAATACCAAAGCAACGTGCAGCTTGAGTAGCACAAATTTTTATCACTTATATTCTGAGTGTGGTTATGTCAGTCAGGAGACAGAAACGATACCTGTTATTTAAGCAGAATTTAATATAAAGTGCTGTTAACTAGGAATGAGGTTGTAACCTAAGTAGCAAAAAATAAATAACTGCAAGGGAGGTGATAGTTGCCATTCCTAAGGCTGAAGGATACAAGGAAAGAGGCTTAGATTATTAAAACTCAGAAAAGGTGCCCAATGGACTGAAAATCATTTCTTCAAGGTGAATCACAGACGGGCTGGTGATGGCAACTGGTGGGGGAAGGTCAGTGAGTCAGTTTTACAAGAGTTGAAAAAAACTGCAAACTGGATTCAGCTGTTACTACAGGAAAGAACTGCTGCTGCGGGTTTAAGACGTGCAGCTGGGGTGATGCGCACAGCAGCCACAAGCAGCCAGGAAGTCTTCAAAGGAGAGTCAGTCCCCTTTTCCTCCTACAGCATTGCATTCTTCTTTGTAATGCTATTGGCAGAGCATACCCTGGAGCCAGCTGGCAAAGCAGAAGTGAGCTGTACAGAATTTCAGTGCCAGCTGAAGGTAGGAGAGAGGGCTGGGAGTATCAGCACAGGAGGTTAATAACTGACACAATAGTTCTTCCTGATTCTCTAAAAAGCTCATAGAAAAAAACAGTTTTTATTTTCATAAAAATGAAAATAAAATTTTCTCCCCCTGCCCCCAGAAAGAAAGAAAGAAAGAGAAAAAACATCTCTAGGAAGGGAGATGTTGTAAATCAATTTGTTAAGCTCCATTGGCACAATATTAATAGTTTTGAGTCTTTTGGTTCTGATTTTAAAGAAATTATGTATGTTTTAATAAGTCAGTTTTGCCCCCAAACATTACACCCTTAAAAAATAATTATATTAAAAAGGGAAGATTTTGGCTGGGTGTGGTGGTGCACACCTGTAATCCCAAGGCTGATGGAGGAGAATCACAAGTTAGTGAGACCCTGCCTCAAAATAAAACATAGAAAGTGAGAAAGAGCTGGAGAGGTAGTTCAGTTGTAGAACACCTCTAGGTATAATACCTAGTACCACAATATGAAAAAGGAAAACCTTAAAATTTGAAACATCACTGTTATAACTCATTTTGTGCAAAGTCAAAAACTACTGTTGAAATAAATATTAATTTCAATCTCTAATAAATTTCATGTGAATCAGAAACCCCTAAAAAGTGGAAATAAACATTTCTCTTATGTGAGTAAAGTCCAAGAAAGGTATGCTGCAACTCATACCAAGGTAAGATAGAGGAAATAAAGACTGGCTGGAAGGAGAAAAAATGGAAGGATAAAGAGACGATAGCTGTAAATCTAGAATCCCCACAATTGGATTTACTCCCTGGGTCTGTTTTTTGCTCCAGGTCTGTCACTCTCAAATTTCTGAGAAATCTACAAATCTTATAGTTACTATAAATTCACTCATTCATAAAAACTGCTTCACTTTGATTAAAGCTTAAATATGGTGTTAGCAAACACAATGTATTTTCGGGTTAGATAAAGCAAAGGGAAATGCATTTTAAGAAACTGGTATCCAGGTACGGTGGTGTACACCTGTAATCCCAGTGGCTCCAGAGGCTGATGCAGGAGGATCCTGAGTTCAAAGCCAGCCTCAGAAATTTAGCAAGGCCCTAAGCAACTCAGCAAGACCCTGTCTTTAAATAAAATATAAAAAGGGCTGGGGATGTGGCTTAGTGGTTAAGCATCCCTGGGTTCAATTCTCAGTATCTGAGAAAGAGAGAGGAACTGATAGTCTAGGCACATTTCAAACATCTTATAGATGGGGAGAGAATGTCAACCTGAGGTTCCTGAAGGAAGAGGAAACCACCATTACCAAGGTAATATTGTTGCCACATGCTTTCCCATTCCCACCCTCACAGTTGCCTTTAAAGGAAGACTGGATATCCCCAAAGTGCACGCCTGGAGCACCTGGGCGCCATCTTCCTTTGAGTTCCAGCCTGTCCTGCTGTGTTCTTTTCCCTGTTGCTTTACTATCTGATGTGCCCTGGAATTGTTTACTGCGGTAAAAGAAAGTAAAGAAACCTGCCTGGGCTGAGTTGAGGTCCCCTTTTCCTCTTTAGAGGGGACTTCTAGGACTCCCCTTCTAACCCCCACTCCCACCCCTGTGACAATCTGACCTAAGTTTGCTCAGGTCTGTGCTGTGTCCTGTCAGCAGTTCTGTAGAGGTAGTCTGGTCCAAGATGTCTGTTAAGAGGTCCAGTCATCACATCTATGTTCTAAGCATCAGTGTAAAGGGAAGGAAGAGGATTAGGTTGTGCCTCCACTCTTACAAGTCCCACCAATACTTCTACTAGCTGCAAAGAAACTCAGATTTTTAGCTCGGTAACATGTCCCAGCTAAAAGAGCTGTGTTAATTTAAGAGACCTGGGAAAAATAGCTGCTGGTAAGAAACTAGCTATTTCTGCCAGACTCTAGGAGGGCTATTGCCTCATCAGTCATAAATGGGTCTATCAGCTCCTTTTTGAAAGCAAGACCCATAGGTAAGAAAGACTGGAGAGAAATATGAGGATAGTAGGCTGGGAAAAGTGGCAGCTGATGAGTGGGGTGGATGAAAGGTATTAAAAACAAAACCCCTTTACTTTAGAATTTCATTCAGCGTCAGCTTCAGCCTCAACTCTTTCTTATTTATATGTGCAACCATTTAAAGTATTAATATTCAATAATAACCAAGAGGAGTCATGTTATATACCAATTATATTTGTTTTATTTTAAAGGACTAAATTATTTTTTAAAAGACTTAATCACTTTTGGTTGTATTCTTTCCCCTCTTTTAGAGAAATGCCTCTAATGCCAAGATAGATCTTGGATTTCCATGGTTATTACACTTAACTTTGTGAATTTGTCTCTCCCCCCTCCCATAAACCCCAAAGGGAATGGAAAAATGGCATCATATTGATAAAACGTGAGCCTTCCAAGACATTCTTTAGATGGCCAATGTGCAAATATGGTCAAAATGAAGAATCCAGGCCAACTGAGTGAACATTTCTCCACAGATGCTTGGGGTGAAGCTGGCTGGCTTTGCAAAGTGGTTCTCTTTATAAACTAGCAACATTGCTTTATGATGTGTCTGGGTGACAGGCCAATTTCTTAAGTGATTTAAGTATATGTATTTAGTATTTTCCAGAACTTTTGCTTTTAGAACTAACTTATAGGGTAGAGCAGCTGACCATGCTGTGCCGTGGCATACTGCCTTAGCAGAATCACTGACAGAATTAGATACCTCAGGTCCCCCAAATTTACTCATTTCCAGCAACCTCATCTTTTATACTTTGACACCATTATAAAATCATGATAAGAGAGAAATGATAGGAAAAGATGAGATAAAGATTCAAATGGGATTTTAAGATGTGTCATCATGTTTGTGGTAGAGAACTTGTTTGTGTGCACAAATGCTTGTGGACCATAAAGCTCCATCTCTTATCCAAATGGTGATGTGGCTGCAAGCTGAACAGCACGCGGCCTCCTTGGGCAAGCTGGGCTCTGAGTCCATTGTCAAAACAGAGTGAACAGTCATCACTGATCTACTGCACTCCCCACCCCCCGCCTACCAACTCCACCCCTGGCTGGTTATGTACATTTTTTCTTCAGATGCTTGTGAAATCAAGAAAAGCATCTGTATTGCACTTCACGTAAGAAAAAAATCATCTAAAAAACCACACATATAGCAAAATAAAATGATCTCTTCTACTTGAGGAAATATCCTGTCTTCTAGAACCCCAATCTCTCTCTTCTGCTTTTCCCATCTGTGCCCTCTCCCTGCTCCTCCTTTTTGACTCTTTCTTCTCCTAAAGGGGAACATAAAGACTAGTAAGAGCTTAGTTACACCCTCCTTTGAGGCATATGAATAGTGCATTTAAAAAGTGATCAAAACTAAAGAGAAGAAGCTCTGTTGGTGGAATTTAGGCAGAATGAATAATGGAAAGAGCCACATATTGGAGCCAAAGAGAACTGGAATTGATTCCCAGTTCTGTCATTTAGAAACTGTCTTGGGTGAGTTACTTGTCTTTTCTGAGTCACAGTTTGTTTATAAAAAAAAGTTGAAATAATAATACCTGCCTCATCATGATTTGAGAATTAACGGAAATTATGTATATGTAAAAAAAATTAGTGCGGCATCTGGCACGTAAATATTACTCTCTTACCTCATCAGAAAAGAAATGTAGGAGTGTTGGGGTGAGTTATGGGGTTTTCTCAGTATTCTAATCTTCTGGGAACAGAATTGACAGCTGTGTGTGTGTGTGAGAGAGAGGGGTGGGGGAGAAAGGAGGGAGGGGAAAATAGTTTAGAAGAAAGGAGGTAATTTGATTGCACTGATTTTTTAATCTGTCTTTTTGTGAACTTTTGGCGTTGTTGCTTCCTGGTATCAGAGAAAATGGGAAACTAAATCATGAAGTCCTTGGTGAACAAAAAATCAGAGCAAATGAAAAAAAGTAGTTTTGGGGTTACTTTATGAATATGCTGATAAAATCCCAGTGAAATCTTTTTACCCTATTCCTTATGTTCTTTGGGCTTACTTTCTCTTCTGGATGGTACTGATCAAGTGGTAGTTCTCTCTGAGTTTCATTTTCTATGCTGGCCACTGTGTTTGGGGCCAACACATTCTTTTGCCACATGTGTTAATATCACTGTCTTAGGATCTGTCAAAATGAAGAACAACTTCCTTCTCTGTGCCAGACCTGATTTGATACTCTGAACTGCAAAGATTCAGACTTTTCTTGGCATCAAAATATAGGAGCTGGGCTCAGATCTCACAGCTCTATTTTGTTCCTTTTAAACCTGATACCCTGTGTTTCCATATTACTATTGCTGGGTACTTGCTCTGCCTGAACTTTTGTGTTTGCTGTGGTACATGGGGTCTAGCCTCAGATCAGGTGCTTCTCTCACCAAGATCCGAATGCATGCTTTTGAGTCTCTAACCCTGATCTGGGTCACACAGAAAATGAACAAGTTTTAAGACTTCTGAAAATTTTCTTTTTTGGGCTAGATTGACAACTCATGGTAAAATTTACTTATGACTTCCCCAAGATAAAAAACTATTTAGGCTTTTGCCCATAATGAGATCTTATCTTCATCTTATTGGTTCTTTCTTCTGGTTCATTAGGGAAAATACAATGGCTATGTTTTTTATAAAAAGTATTTGGACCTGATATGGTGGCACATGCCTATAATTCCAGTAGCTCAGGAGGCTGAGGCAGGTGGATTGTGAGTTCAAAGCCAGACTCAGCATTTTAGTGAGGCCCTCAGCAACTCAGCGAGATCCTATCTATAATAAAATATAAAAAGAGCTGGAGATATGGCTCAGAGGTTAAACCCCTGGGTTCAATCCTGGTACCAAAAAAAAAAAAAAAAAAAAAAACATTTGGAAGACATACATATACAAAACAAGAAAATAAAGAATGATGCATAAAGATAGAGCACCAAACAACATCTGGGCATAGAAGATGAGCAGATATACCCCCAGGATTCCTCACTGCAGGTCCACGGATATTCAAGAAGTCTGCAATACTATTGTATCTCAATTAAAATGCACATCACAACTAAAAATATTGGACAAATTTCAACAACATTGGTTTCATCTACAATAATGAAAATTCTTTTTCTTTTGCTTTTACAAGAAGTCCATAGGTTTCATAGAAATGTCAAAGGATCCATAGCACTAAAAAGTTAAGAATTCCTGAGGTAGGAAGTTTGTATGTTACTTTGCATGATCTGCTGATTTCATTAATCTAATTTTCACAGTTCTTAATTTTCTCTTCTGTGGTCTTCTCACCCTGAACTCGGCCTCTTAGTTAGTGCCATCTGTATCTGCAGTATACAGCATTTGTCAATCTTTCTTTGGGCAGAACATTTCTTTCAACATAGTAACAGTGCAATTCATAAATAGAAATTTTTTTCATATTTATTTTAATGTTTATTGAATAAATCATGTGTGCTGATTACTGTGCTAGCCAAAGAGGATACAAGTCCAATTAAAAACAGTACTGCCCTTTATCACTTATGATCTCAGGGGTGTGTATGTGTGTGTGTAATAACTTCTTTATTTATGTTCTCACCCTACCTCCACAGATCTTGGAGACATCTGAGGTTTCATGGGGACTTTCCAACATTCCAGACAGCGGCCCTGCAATGAAGCTCTGAGTCATGGTCTTTGGGCCTAAGGTACTGTCAACAATATGGAAACCCAGGACAGCCAACCTCATTCTAAGTCTTCACTCTAAGCAAAAGCCCAGAGTGAATCTGGCCTCAAATCAGAGCAAGCTCTAGAGAAAACCTTCTTTGTTAATGGAAAGAGAAAAGAAGGAAAGGATTTCCAACGAATTGCAACAAACTTTCCACCACTCAAAGGAACCTACCTTCCTCATCAACCAAGGCATCCTATTGAGTGACACCCATTTTAGCCTTTTGCCAGAAGCAGAGTGTGTCAATCCTAGGGAAAAAATAAAGACAAATGCTCAGAAGAGTAGACCTGGAACAGTGATACTATCAAAACGGCCAATTAGGAGCACAATGTCGGAAAACCAGCTGAGCCTCCCTGTGATCCCATCCCGCAGGCCTGGATTCCGGGTCTGCTACATTTGTGGCCGAGAATTTGGGTCCCAATCACTAGCCATTCATGAACCCCAGTGCTTGGAGAAGTGGCGTATTGAAAACAGCAAGTTGCCCAAGCACCTGAGGAGGCCAGAACCCTCCAAACCTCAGCCTCTCGGTGGCAGTGGGTCCTACAGTCTTACAGCAGAAAATGAGGCAGCATTTCAGAGTGCCCAGGCTCAGTTGCTGCCCTGTGAGTTTTGTGGCCGCACCTTCCTGCCAGATCGTCTCCTTGTTCACCAGAGAAGCTGCAAGCCAAAGGGTGAAGGTCCCAGAGTACCAAACCCCAACAATTCTGATGATCTTCCCAGCCCCAAGAAAACTTCTAGTGGTATCCCAGCCCGACCAAGGACTCTCATCTGCTACATTTGTGGTAGGGAATTTGGCACACTCTCTCTTCCTATTCATGAGCCCAAATGCCTGGAAAAGTGGAAAGCAGAAAACGACAGGCTTCCTAAGGAGCTCCGCCTGCCACTCCCACAGAAGCCTCAGCCCCTTCCAACTGGATGGCCCAGCCAAGAGGAGTCAAGTCAAGCTCAACTTGTGCCCTGCCCAAACTGTAAACGGACTTTTGCCCCAGATCGCCTTCTGGTGCACCAGAAGAGTTGCAAAGCTCAATCCAATGGATCACAAGTTCAGAATTTGACCTTAGGAAGTAAAGATGGCCTAAATGCATCCACTAATTCCAAGCATCAAAAGAACATGGCAGCACCCAGTGTGACTGATAAGGTAATTCATGCCATGTAAGATGCATTAGGTGTATCTGGGGATACATTCAGCTTCTAAGGGAATAAGAAAAAACTGTTCCCTAAGTCAGTCATCTCAGCCCCTAGGATGGTTTATTTCAATGTCTTATTTCTGCCTCAATGCAGCCTGTCCAAGTTGATCCCCTGTGGACTCTGGGGGCAATATCTCTCTTGACAAAGTAGACCTAAGAACACCCTTGCCTGGTGGGTTCATATTCCTCTTCAATTCTGCTGCCTAAAAGAGATGGACTTCTTTCTTCCCTGATCCCTCATACCAATTATCCCTGGGAGAGAGTGTTATTTGAAAATGAGTCATTAATGCTGTGTCTACATTACAGAGATATAATTCCCATTCCAACAGCCAATATTTATTGCTGGTTTATTTTAGTCATCTACCTTAGGAATTCATTTTTGGCAATGTTGGGTTATGCTGAGTTTATCTTACTAAAATAGAATCTATGTCAAAAACCTCAAATGACTTTAGCAATAATTAAACACTGAAGCACTTGCAGAAATACACATGCCCTGCAAATACAACATTCTTATAACACTTACACAACTATAATAAATGGGGGTTTAACCCCAGCATAGACATTGAAGCAACTAGATATATGTTTATGGTTCTAGGAGGTGCTTAATCCCACTGTTGCTCTATATTCTGTGTGTGGACTGATCACAGGGTCCTGACCCCGGACTTTAGTCACTAAATATGTACCTCCAGGTGTCCCCAACTTGTATGGTGAAGAATTCTTGGACTTTTACCTGGGGTCTCACCATCAACCAGGATTGGGTAGGGATGTCAATCAAAGTGGCTACTATAAGATAGGATAAGGTCCATGCTGTTTGTCCTGTCATTAAACCAGGGAATGGATGCACTGTCTGTGTCACACCTTACACAATATCAAATTATAATACGAGATGGCAAGGATTTTTTCCGTGGCTTGTTTCTTGAATGCCCAGTATTCTGAAATTCTCCAAACCACAGCCTCTGCAACAGCAGTTCCTACAGTCTTCAGGCAGCAAATAAGTCTATAAATTGACCTTTGGGGCAACACAAATTACTCAAGCTGTTGTAAAAGATTAAGCCAAACAAATGAAGATGACCCTTTATTTTAAATCCAACTTTCTTTAAATTATTACTTTGGGGACTTTCTAGTCCTTGTTCTTAAATTCCATGTTTAAAATGAAATGATTATGGAATTACTGGTTTAGGAGATTCCAAGATAATGATTCTAAAGGTGGAATCAGACTAATGAGCTGGGTTAAGTTTTCCAATGAACATTGGGGTAGGGGCTGGTACTGTCTAGCTTCTTTGTATAATGAAACCCCAAGCTTTTTAAATGTGGTATGGATTTCAAGTTGGTCTCATAAACATGATCTGTTTTCCCCATCTTCTGGCTGTTGCTTTTCTTTCAAAATGTGTGGGGTCTGGAATCAGAGAAAAAGAATCTGCATCTCATGGCTGCAAATCAGAAACTCCCTTAGCATTCTAACTTGCAGCTCTGTTTCTTGATTGTATGCATTTACCTCAAATGTTCTCATTACAGATCTAGAGATAGGGAGGAGTGTGGTTAGGACTCTTGTGCTTGTTGTTGTAACACATACTTTATGCTCTAAGACCGGAGCCAACAGGCTGAGCACAACATGTACTCTCTCAGTCACACTCCTAAAAGAGGCTGGCTGGGCCCACAGTGTCACAAAAACACACCTTCCTGACTCACCCAGTCGTCTGGAGGGGAGAATGTCAGAAAGAGGACAGTGATAGCCCTTTGGTGACTTGTACATTTCGGTAAGTTGAGTAAGGCCATATAGAGGACATTGCCATATCAACATGTACCCAACCCTGCTCTCAGGCTGAAACCCATGTATCATTGGGAAACTAGCACCCACCACTGTCAAATGTGTGCTGGCCTGTTAGGGATTCATACAGGCATCGGTGGAGGGCATAGAAATTTCATTCAACTTAGGGTCCCCTTAGTTGCCAGAATTGAAACAAGCTTGGGTTAATTAAAATGGAAGAAATTTAGCCAGGTACATAATAGTAACCCCAACAACTTGGAAAGCTGAAGCGAGTACGAGGCCAGCCTGGGCAGTTTAGCAAGATCTTATCTCAAAAAAAAAAAAAAAAGGGGTGGAGTTGTAGCTCAATGTTGAGCACCCCTGAGTTCCATTTCAAATAATAAAAAAAGGAAGATATTCCTAGGCTTCAGAAAAGCATAGATGGTTTAAGCATTGAGCTCCCTGGAGAAGATGCTTGTCATTCCACAGTGCTTTCAGCACAAAACCTTTCCTTCATAGTGTAGTATTCTTTTTCCGTTGCAATTTAACCCGGTGGAAGTTTTTCTTTCTTTGTACCATTCAAAAATCTACATAGTGCTGTGAATCTCTTGTTTTCCATAAAAAGCATTACCCTATAACATTATTAGATTTCAAAATCGCATCTCCCCATGACAGATAACTTTTGGCTGAATGCTCAGGCATTCCTTTGTACAATTCAATGTTTACTTCATTTCTTCTCTTGTCAATTGGAGCAATTGTCCTCTAGAACCCTTGATCAGACTTCAGATTAGAATCACCTGTCTTACCTAATATTCTCAAGGTTCCCTCAACCTGAATTGAACTCAGGTGAGGGAAATGGCTTTTTTTTTTCTGAATTATGATTTTACTACTTGGAAACAATTCACTTCAGTTGGGTGACAATGACTGTTTTGCTGGCACAGTGCATTGCCCTTTGTGTAGAATATTCCTGCAACACAGTTTAGCTCCATTCCCTTTGACACAGATGCTCCCATTATCCTTTGGTCAAATCTGAACACAAATAAATGCTGATAAAACAAGCTCACCTCCAAGATCTCAGAAGGCATTTTCTTTGCCCTAAAACCACATATTAGTTTGAATTTGTCCCACTGCTTATCATCTGAAATATAGGCCAAGTTTACTCTTCTAATCTCACAGCAAGGTTGTGAAGGAAACTAACAGCATTTAAGAGGAATAGAACCTGGTGTGAATTTGTATTTAAAGGGTGTGGCTGTTCTGGGACTGTTGCTCTCCCCACTGTTTGGTAAAGCATTGAGCTACTTTTCTTTCCTCTGAAAGAGGAAAACTCTGGATGAACAGTATCCAGTTTAGCAAGATTTAAAATGTGATATTAATGTCAAATGAAATTTTGACATATAATATAGAAAATCATAAATTATTATTTTAAATTTTAATGTTTTATCTATTTAATGAGATTTGATGTTTATTTAGTAAATGATTTCCTAAGCTATACTGAGGAATATAATAATAGAAGTCATTATTACTTCTTATTTTATGATGAATGAATAAATGGACCCTTTATTTTAAATCCAATTTTCTTTCTTTTTTGTTTTATTGCTTTAGAAACTGGTTAGTCCTTGTTCATAAGTTCCATGAAATGGAATGTCAGAAGCTGTTGGTAATCTATTCTTTAGCTTTAGAACCTTTCAGAATAATGAGAACACAAATTGACAGAGTAAAATAAACAATGGCCTTTTCCTAGTTAACTATGTATTAGTTAGGTAATGCTAGGGGTAATTTTCTTGGGATTTGCTGGTAACACATGAAACATTGTCCTTAAAACAAATCCTGCCCTTTATTGCTAAATAGGCATGTTTTTCAAAGGAACACTAACTTTTCTACAAACAATTGTCTCTCTGAATGTAGTTTTAAGCTCCTCTTGGCATCCTCTATGACCAGGTTTGAACTAAAAGCTCCTCAGACACATCTCTAGCATCTGGTGCTGCCATCTGGTGTTTTAAAGTGATGTCTTCTACATTACCAAATATCTTACTGCCTTTCTTCTCCTTGTTTTCCTCTCCAGATGTATTTGAGAAGGTACCCTTGTAACACAAATGCCAGTTAACATATGTGATTTAAAGGTATAAATACTGTTTCCTGGTGAAGTATCTCTTTCTTTAATGTGGGAAACTCTTAGTGGGAAGGTCAAAATCAGAAAGACTGAGAAGGGTGGCATGGATTTTCTTGCATCTATACATTTTGAATGTGTGCATGGGTATCTGCTAGATAAGACAAATTTGGAGTTTAGGAGAAGAATGAATGAAAGGGAACTAGTTATTAATGAGTACCTTGATTAAAAAAATACTGGAGATGGAGTTATTTCTACACAACAGAAACTTCTTCCTTTCTCTCTCCCTCTCTCTCTCTCTCCCCCCCCATCTCCCCCCCAACTCCTTTCTTCCTTTCTTCCTCCCTGCCCCCGCTTCACTGGTACCAGGGATTAAACCCAGGGGTGCTTAACCACTGAGCCATATCCCCAGCCCTTTCTATTTTTTTATTTTGAGAGGCTCGCTCAATTGTTGAGGCTTGTTTTGAACTTGTGATCCTCTTGCTTCAGTTTCCCGAGTGGCTAGGATTACAGGCATGCACCACCATGCCTGGTCAGAAATTTATTCCTAACAGTTCTTGAGGCTGGAAAGTCCAAATTCAAGTTACCAGCAGGACTGGTTTCTGGGGAGGGCTGTTCTTTGTTTCTAAGATGGAGCTTTGTTGCTCTATCCTCTGGAGTAGGGAAAAACACTGAGTCCTCACATGACAGAAGGGATGGAAGGGTAGGAAAGGGCTCCCTTCAACTTTGAACCTTACCATATGGTGCTAATAGCATTCAGGAGGCTGGAGCCCTTGTGACTTACCTTCCAAATACTACACTTCTTATTACTGCTGCATTGGGGACTTGGTTTCAGCATGGATTTGGTTGGGGACACCATCATTAAGCTTTATGATCAGCTCTTTATGTGCATAATCTAATTTTAATCTTTACAATATTGTTGTAAAATAGATATTGTATTTTCTAGTTCCCAGGTGGGAAGACTGAGGTTAAGCAACTTCCCCAAGTTACACAATGGGTTCACATATGGGTGTCAGAGCCAGGTCTGTCTAATTCTAAAGTAACACATCTTTTCATGTCACTATGAAAGAGTTGGAGGAATAATATAGAGAAAAATC